GCGAAGGAGACTACATTGATACGGGCAAATATGCGGCGACCAATTCTCTTTCTGCATCATTTATCTTCCTTTCAGGAACTTACCGTACATGACTGAGCGTTCTGTAGGGCTTTTTGTTCTTTCCCTGTGAACTCTTTTGCAACTTTTTTTGGTTATTTTTTTATATTTTTCCAGGAAGAGATGGTCAACGTATACTGCGAGTGAAGCAGGGAGGTTCCAATCGCGGATTACACTTGATATTGGACGTTAGACAAGAGGAATATTACGGGACGGCATCATATGTTGCCGGCCTCAAAGTTCTTGTTCATGATCAGCAGACTCTGCCACTGGTCTCTCAGCTTGGCTTTGCTGTGAGTCCTGGTGCGAGTACATTTGCGGCGTTAAAAAAACTACGGGTAATAGATTACATTGTCTAATACTGTCGGATTTTTTTATGTGAACTTAGTTTTGTCAGCTCATGGGCTTAACAAGTGGAACTGCTTTAACCTTTAAGTTTCCTCTCACGACATCTATACATTTTCGAGCAGAAGGGTGATGAAAAGATAGGATGACATCAGTTACGGGATGTCATTAGAGTTCAATGCAAATTTTAAAATTCTACTTTTAGGATTAGTATCTTGAGAACTTTTGCAGTTCCCTTTCTTTCGATTGTTACATTAGTATCGCATAGTTTTAGGATTCTTTTTAGTTCGATTGTTACGTTAGCATCTCTTGAATTTTTAGAGTTCTCTTTCACTGGATTGTTACGTCAGTATCTCGTGCACTTTTGGGATTCTCTTTCATTGTGATGTTACATTAGTATCTCGCGCACTTTTAGGATTATCTTCCAATGGACAGTTACGTTCGTATCTGGTGCACTTCAAGGATTTTTTTTATTAGATTGTTACGTCGGTATCTTGCGCACTTTTAAAATTCTCATTCAGTGGATTGTTACGTTATTATCTCGTGCGCTTTTACGATCTTCTTTCAATGGACTGCTATCTTAGTATCTGGCGCACTTTAAGGATTCTCTTTCATTGTATTGTTACGTTAGTATCTCGCACACTTTTAAGATTATCTTCCGATGAACTGTTACATTCGTATCTGGTGCACTTTAAGGATTCTTTGTTATTAGATTGTTACGTCGGTATTTCGCGCACTTTTAGAATTCCTATTCAATGGATTGTTACGTTATTATCTCGTGCGCTTTTACGATCTTCTTTCAATGGACTGGTACCTTTGAATCTAGCGCACCTTAAGGATTCTATTCATTGTATTGTTACGTTGGTATCTCGCGCACTTTTAGGATTATCTTCCAATGGACTGTTACGTTCATAGCTGGTGCACCTCAAGGATTCTTTTTTATTAGATTGTTACGTCGGTATCTTGCACACTTTTAGAATTCTTATTCAATGGATTGTTCCGTTATTATCTCGTGCGTTTTTACGATCTTCTTTCAATGGACTGCTATCTTAGTATATGGCGCTTTAAGGATTCGTTGGATTGTTACGTTTTGTATCTCACGGACTTTAAGCATTCTTTTTCATTGGATTGTAACGTTAGCATCTCACGCACATTTAGGATTTTTTTCATTGAATTGTTGCGTTAGTCTCTTGCACACTTTTAGGATTCTTTCTCATTGGATTGTTACGTTAGCATCTCAAGAACTTTCAGAGTTCTCATTGATATGGAATGTTACGTTAGTCTCTTGTGCCTTTTAGGATTCATTTTCGATGGATAGTTTCGTTAGTATCTCGCGCACTCTCAAGATTCTCTCTCGTCGGAGGTAGATTAGTTTTATGGACAAAGTATAAGGCGCATGGTGAAGTTAACCACAGAAATTAGGAATTCTCTCGAAACTCAATTGAAAATTGCTCTGAAATCAAAGTTTTTTTAACCACAGACACTCAATCTTCCAAAACCTTATGAGGGAAACTGCCATGACAAAGAGATTACTAGCATACCTGGCTATAACAAGTACACGATTCTTTCTTGCCAAGAGATTTGTGCGACCAACTTTGTAATTAATAAGTGTGGATGCAGGGACGCTTTGATGGCGGGTAAGTCATTAAAGGTGCGTTTCGTGTTAGTCTGTGAGCAGGCGCTCATCAGATCATCGGCCTAGGACGCACACTTTTATACCCGTTGGGGATCTTATCTATATATATGTAAATCTTGATTATAGTCTATCTTTT